GAAAGAAAGAAAGAAAGAAAGAAAGAAAGAAAGAAAGAAAGAAAGAAAGAAAGAAAGAAAGAAAGAAAGACAGGGAGGGAGGGAGGGAGGGAGGGAGGGAGGAAGGAAGGAAGGAAGGAAGGGACATGTACATATATTCTGACACACGTATTATAAAAATAATATCATTAAGTTTAACTTTTTTTCATTTCAACAAAATTTCATTGATAATTTCATCAACTTTCATCTTAAGGAATATTTTGGGAGATTTACAAATACTTTTTGATACATGTGGAAATCTTTAAGTCAATTTAAATGTCCCTGTTGTGATGGGTAGTGGATTTGTGTGTTGTTTCCCAAAGAAAAAACATTTTTTACCCAGTTTTGGGTAATTTATCCAGCCTCAGGAAGCACTGATTTAATGCAAACAACAGTTCAGAACAAAGATTATCTAGCTTGTGGCCTATGAGTTGACTTGTGTCTATTAGGAGCTTCCTTACAATGGCTGGACTTAAGACTTAGTACTTCCTTCATAAAAACAGCATAGCATGCATTTAAATGAAAGAGTATTAGGATGGGAAACAGATGAAGCATCTGAGTAGATAAAGGAAGACTTTTTGAAATGTTGAGCCTAGCAGGGGCTGCCCTGCTGTTTTCATTCTGGTTCCAGCAATAAAATGTCACCAGCAAGAACTGAAATGTGAGCTTTCAAACAGAAGAGGTAGTTGCTCAAGTGATGTGAGGTTCTTACCGTGGCTGCAACATTGAGCTGATAATAGAGAGGGATATGTTCAGATGGCACTTCAGTCTCTGAATGGATTGTTGCATTTGCCTGCAACACAGCAGCGCTCAGATAAAAAATGCCTGTGGCTCCATGATAAAGACTATCCTAAAAGAAGAGAGAAGTAGATACGGACAGTGTTAAAAAAAAAAACAAGAAGGAAAAGTGGAATTCTTCAAACTCTATTCATTATTATGCAGTAATTGCACATGAAGTACGGACCAAAGCATCCTTGTAAGCAGCCCATTCATGATCTGAGAGTATTTACCCACTTCAAATCTCTTTAAGCTACAGGAGTTGTTGCCACCTTACCAGAATTCTCCAGGATTTAAACTGTTTATGGAAGCCAAATAAGTAACTCAGGAGGAGGAGAAAGGAGATGACAAAGGAGCTGATCGAGACGTACATGACCCATCCTTGCAGCAAAGGGAAATAGACTGTGGTAGCTGCTACAAGGATCCAAACCCAGCAGCCAAAGATCTATCAGGGTGAAAAATGCTGAAATACAAATGATTAGCATTAAACTTTTTTTTACCCTTCAGAATGGTTTAGTCTCTGATTTATGCTTGCATTTATTTATTTGATTGATTGGTTGATTTATACATTTCATTAAAATGTCCTCTGGAGCAAAAGGCTAAAGTAACAAATAATACCACCATGTAAAATGATCTATCTTAAAACAGCACAGTAAACACACTGACAGCAACACATCCATGCACAAAATATCTAACTGAAACTTAATTGGACAAGTGTTGCATATGTAATCTTAAAACAGACGTCTCCAAA